AAGCCGGGGCCAGGGGTGCCCACCCCCGGACCCCCGCAACCTGGGGTCCCGGGGCCGGGGCTCGACAACCCTGAAGGAGACCCTGTTCTGCTTCCCGCCACAGAAAATCCCCTACCTCCAAAGCTACAGAAACCACCACAGATCATGCGAAACGTTAACCCCCATGCAACCTATATACACACATGCAATGAGACCACCATGCATGGAACATTCAAACACAAGTGTTGCGTCACATCGTACACACATGGACACGGCGAAGGTATGAAGTCCAAAAATAGACTCAGTAGCCAACACCAAACTAAGCAAACTTAGTTGGCTTTGTTGTCACCCGTCTATGGCTTTCCAACTCGACATGTAGGCAAGCCTCTGTCTTTTTCCTCTCGTACGTCTCACTCGCTTGCTACCTAGGCTGGTCTGACTCTCAAGGTCCTCACTCGTCTTTCTGAATGTCTTCCTCTTACTCTCCCACTCTCTCTCTCATACTACAGCTACAGCTGTGGCACCCAGCACCATTGACTACACTGCCCCACGCTCCCTCTCACTTCCTCCGTTGTCGCTCCAACGCACAAGACCGCAGCAGCTCTTCTGCATTGAGTGCAAAGCACAAGGTGTTGAAGTGCAAGAGCTGCTGGACTTTTGCACTTGCTGATCCGTCTTCCAGATTTCTCCTGCTGGTTAAGGGTTGGCTCCTGCGCCTTTGTTTCCTGCTTCCGAAAGTCTACTGATTTTCCTTGGATCTGGCTGCTTGACTGGACTCGACTGGCAATCGGCCTAACAACTTCTGCTCTCTTTGCTGAGGTTAGTTCTGCCTCCCTGAAAATAGACTTTTCAACCCATGACTGTTATCTACCAGGGACTTCCTACCAGATATGAGCAAGGGGTACCCGCACCCACACCCACCCTGCACCCACCCGGACCACAAGTGGCTGGGTTATTTCTGGGTCTATCTTGCTGACCTGGGTTGCACGTGGGTGGGTCGAGGTAGACTGGCCTGGCTGGGGGATGGGTGGGTCAGTGGTCACCAGGGCGGGTGACAGGCAGGTGAGTGTTTGACACCTGACCCGCAAAGACTCAGGACAACCCACACAGACCCCCCCCCCCCAACTTTCCTCCCAATTTCCCCCCCAAATAAAAGTTATTGTACCTGGTCCAACTTCCCACCCTTTCTGGACTGAAACGAAAGTGGTGGGGGGGCAAAAAAAAGCCCAAAAGAAAGTCAGCCTGGGTCAACCCCCCGGCAGCATATTTTGGCTGGAACTCTCATGTTAAATAACACGGAGAGAATCTGACATCACAAGGCGGCAAGATTGGCTCCCTATTCCAGAACTGCCGCTTCCCATTTTCTCGGCGCAGAAAGAATCTGTGTGGGCGTGTGCGGGCAGGTTTTGATGTTCTCGTGGGTGCAGGTGGGTTACAGTAAGGGTCTTTTCTCACATGACAAAAATCGGGCACAGGAGCAAAACTTCGAAAATTATTGTCTGGGCCAGGGTTGCCGGCGTTCGGGAAGGGCCGAATGCCCGAATGTTCGGTACCCCCTCTCGACGCGTTCGGCCTTTCGGCCGAATGCGGACCCAAAAAAAAAAATTCCAATCTGAAAAAAATATATGTTGTCCTTCGGGACATCCGTTAAAATTGGAACGATACAGAGAAGATTAGCATGGCCTCTGCACGAGGATGACACGCATAAATCGAGAAATGGTCCAAATTTGAAAGAAAAAATATATATATATCGTCACAAATAGAACTGCCCGGTATATATATATACCTCTTCTCCCTCTCTGCCTACGGTTTACCAGGCAGTTCTATTTGACGATATATATATATACAGGGTTACCTGACCGAACGTTCGGGGGCCCCCGGGCTAGCCCCCAAACGTTCGGGCGTTCGGGTTCCCGTTCAGGGGCCGAACACCTCCAGGTTCGGCCCCCGCCAAAAAATGTTTCGGGGCCTAAAAATAAGTTTTTTTTTCTGATTTTTTTTTTGTGAGTTTTCTATGATGTAACCTACACGCCTATACATTTTGAAGCCATTCTGCTAAGCCAACAAAACATTAAAAATCGTCAAAGATGGGGGTGTCAAAAAGTGCTCGCCCACTCACTATTTTGTTTTTTTTCACTTTTAACTTTTTGTTTTTACTTTATTTCGGGGCCTGAAAAATTTTATTACTTTTTGAAAAACTTTTAACGAGTTTTTGATTATGTAAACTACATATCTGGAAATTTTCAGGGCATTTGTCAATGCCAAAAAATAATTAAAAATCGGCAAAGATGGCGGTGTCGAAAAGGTGCTGGCACACTCACTCATTTTAATTCTCTATTTATTTTTTCTTATTTTTATGAAATTTTATCATATTGTTTATTTTATGTATTTGATTTTTAATTCAAATTTGGTAAAGAATTTGGATGTAGTGCCCAGGGGTGAAGTCCCACCGCCGAAGTTGAGTTTTCTCAACGGTGAGCTTTCTATCACCTGTGGCATCATGGGACGGAGCTCTGCCTTTGATGTATTGAGAATCTAAGGGTACCGAAATACAGGAGAATAACCTATTAGATTTGGTCATTCTGTAGAATTTTTCTTTGACGTGAAATCCGTTTTGTAGTATGCGTTGGCCCTTTTGGTTTGGGCGGGAAGCTGTTTGCCATTGAGAAAACTACCCTACCGAGGGTAGGGTACATTTCTCAACCTATTTGCCTTTCATTTTTTTTTTTTTTATAGATATCATTACACCCTGAAACGGAGGGACTCTGACAGCTCTGTTTGGCTCTCTCCCATCAAACTCTCTTCCTTCTTTGGGCAATGAACGCATCTGGCCATCCAAGTTGTCCCTGTCCATTTTACAAATGCACGGGAAGTACCCTTTTTCCACGGAGACATTCACTCCGACTATGCCAGACGTGTTTCATTTCTCCGAGATACTTCATCAAAAATAAGGAGAAAACTCAGAAAAGCTGTTTCTAGCGTTTTTTTTTCAGTTTCTTAATTTTTTGTTTCGAATTTATTAATGTCAAAATGGTGTCACAGGTTGCGTTTTCTAAACTAAACTAAGGCCGTGGGACTTCACCCCAGGCAAATGTTGTTTAAGCTTATTTGTCTCCATAACATATTTTTTTTACGGAATTTTTTGAAAACTTTTTTTTTTTGGGGGGGGGTCCCGTACGTCTGGGCGTTCGGGTTCGGGCGTTCGGCCTGTCCCGAACGCCGGTAACCCTGTATATATATCTATAGTCAAACAGAGCTGCCCGGTAAACCGTAGGCAGAGAGGGAGAAGAGGACAACAAACGAGGGGCTGTGGCAAACTGTTTCGTCGGAGTTTCACCAACTCGTCAGGAGGCTGAACCCTCAACAGTCTGCAGAATCCCCTAACTGATTACATTGTAAGTGATAATCCACCTTAACCCCGGCTGTGGTTAAGCATCAACGAATGCCCGACAACTGATACCCTGAGGTGGGCCCCAACCACTGCCCTCAAGGTACCTGTGGCAAAAGTCAAAGCAGATTATCACTCACCCACACCAGATGGAAAACTCTACAGACTGTCAGTTCACACCCCATCACAAGCAAGCAACACACCCATGAAACAAAGAAAGGTCTGTCACATCCAAAAAATACACTCCAGACACGCCGCTGGCACTAGAGGCACAGCATGGCCGCGTAGTGACGGCCCCGACCACTGCCGCTCGACCTGACCGGAGAATACCGCAGGGTGCTAGCGAAGTCGTGGTATATATAGTCAAACAGAGCTGCCCGGTAAACCGTAGGCAGAGAGGGAGAAGAGGACAACAAACGAGGGGTTGTTGCAAACTGTTTCGTCGGAGTTTCACCGACTCACATGTTATGCAGAAGAATAAACTGAGCAACATTTGCCTCAACGTTACATCAAAATTCTTTACCAAATTTGAAATAAAAATCAAATACTAGAATTATAAATAATAATAATGAAAATTAGAAAAAGTAAAACGAGAATGGAATTATTGAGTGGGCGAGCACGTTTTTGACACCGCCATCTTTGGCAATTTTCCATTTTTTTTTTGGCTGTGACAAATGCCATGAAAATTTACATATGTGTATCTTATATAATAGAGAATTGCGAGGATCTGGGTCCTCGGCAGGCCTATGGGGCCCT